CATTAATCCTGCTGCCGAGGGGGGTGCTCCTAGGGCGCTAATCCTCCTGTTGCCTCTGCCGCAGCTTGCGTGGAGGATCCTGTGGATGGCAATGATGTGGAGGATGCAACCGCTGTTAGATGCTGCATCTGTGCCCGAGCCCATTTCCAGGCATGCCCAAATGATTGCCCATTTGTCCGAGTTCTGGGTGAGGAATTAGCTGAAAACAGAGAGAATGACAGGCTCCTTATGCGCTTCCATCAAAGCAGGGCAAATATAGTGCGTCAGCTTGACCATCATGATCGTGTGGGTGCTCCCGAAGCGCATAGGACCTTTTCATTCGTTCCTTGATTGCTGTCATTCAGTCCTTTAAGCTAGAAAATGCTTTCTTGGGACCCTATGCAAATAGGATGTCCATAATTTTCTTGCTAGAGGAGTTAGTGGAGCTGATTCAACCTCTCGTGGAACTAGGAGAGATGAATCACAATGTTCAAGGAATCATCAATACTATTATCCAGTTACTTGGTCCTCTTTTGGAGGATGAGGAGGTGGCAGCTTTCGGGAATTGGTAAACTTCCTTTTTTTCTCATTTTATCTTGATTTTTGTGTGCAATTCTAAAATGTCGACTTTTATAAATTACTAACTGACTTGGTGATACCTCTTCTTGTTTTCTCTTTATCAAATTTTTCTCATTGAAGCTTACATTTTTGTTTCTTTCAAATCTTAATAGCTGGCTGCCTCAAGCATTGATTCTTGAAGTCCTTGCTGATTGAAACAACCGCTCCTATTTTGTCATTGCTGCTTGGAACTTATCTTCACTATTAGTAATATTAGCTAGTTACTTGCATAGTTTAAACTTTTAAATGCCATGGTACAAATTAGAATCTAATCATCTTATCATATGTACAGATATGCGCTCCTTTATCTCAAATATTGTAAAAGGGAAAATATCAGAATCTAGCCCAAATACATATTTGATGTTTTCAATTCAAATTATTTCTTTTGATCTATTCTTTCGTTCTATTTTTTTTTTTTTTTCAAAACCTGGGGCTTATTGTGATGATTGATAAGCACAAATTGCTCTGCTATAATGGTAAAGGGCATCATATACAAAATAAGAATTTGATGTTCCTTTATCATGCTCTGTTTTATAATTTAAATTAAACTGTGAGTCTGCATTCTAAGTCAAGTCATTAAGCATTTAGGCAACCTTTATATTTATATAATATTTTAAACTTGGCCATCTGTCAGGAGCAGCACATCCTCAAATATCAGCGTATACTCTTTTATTTTTTATTTTTTGAGTATCTAGTAATGGTTAGACACAGTTCTTTGTAATAATTTAATTTGTTGCCTCAGCAACAAAAGAGTATGTTCCTATTAAGATCGGCTTACAACGGGCATGGGATGGAGGCTTTCGACATGTTATTCTGGAAACAGATTCTCTGCTGGTAAACTCAGGCAGCAAGGAAAGCATTTGGATGCGCCTAGTCCCCTGGCGCAGCAATGCAAAGCGCTAATAGCTAGCAAATGGGACTGCCCACTGCATCATGTTTATCGAGAGGGCAAAACTTGTGCGGATATTATGGCATCGCTTTCCTGTTACTTGGAGAAATGGTCTGAGGTTATTTCATGCCTAGAGATGATCCTGAAAAAAACTAATTATGTTCCTAGATTGACAGGCTTTTATGTATCTTTAAGCCTGCAGTAGTGCTGTTACGTGCCAACTTACTAATTCTCTTGGGAACATTCTCTCTCTTCCTCTATTGTGGTGGTTCCAAACCAGTTACCCATACATATCCTTGCTAGGATCCCGAGGGTACATGGCTCTATCCTCACCACATTTCTCACAATGACCCAACTTTCGACAACCGCAAGAAAAGTCAGATTCTCATATTTAAGATCAATCCATTTTATTTAGGGAGTTATATTAAAAATTAAAAACCTGCAACGCGAGATTTGTAAACTCAATACCTACTTCCCAAAAACCCCACACACAACACAATTGAGCCACTGGTTTTTCAGCTTTAATCAAGATACCAGTATATCTCCCCTATAATCAGAGCATTCACATACAACAATTAATCTATGTTCAAACAATGAATCAAACGGAAACACAAGAGGAAGCTTAGGAAACAACTATGTCAGAAAAATGAAATTCTGCCATTCATGGATGCTGACACTCTAAAGAATACCACTTTATTTGCATGAAGCCTTTTCGTAGGCAGAAGTCCAGCTCTTAAAGATTGCTAGAAAGAAACAAGATGACATTCAAGTATTCAACAAACCTGAATGAATATATTTGCAGTAACAATGAAATAGTAAATACACCAAAATGCAACATTTCAGTTCTGGGTTTTTCATAATGATAAACAAATTTAGAGCAGAATACTCTAACATCCCCTCCAACCAGGAACATGACCAATAACCCAACTGGTAAGATGTTCAGATTTAAGTCCAAGCAATTCACCCAATCTAGAAGATGAGTATGTGCTGGGTTCACATTCAAACCTCAAACCACCAGATGCTTTCACAAAATCAGATACTGTAATTTTGGGTGCGTCGAGACCTATATGACAAAACTCAATCAAATTTGGACCATCAACCGTCACAGCTTTCAAGTTACAGCATTTAGCAACATGCAGCCTCTTAAGTTGAGGATTCAGAAGCTTCAGCCTTCCTAACTTATCACATTCAACCATCCAGAGGTTCTCAAGCAAAGGAAACTTGGAGATTAGATTATGAAAAGTCCTCTGTGTGGCAAAATAGTCACACAACACCAAGGTTTCCAAATTGCAACAACATTCTGCAACCTTAATCCTGCAGGGCTTCTTCCGAGCTCCATTGTAGATAAAGTTTTTTAGATTTGGTGTTGCAATTTCAATGATACTCAAACGGCCAAACTTCATATCAGAGATCTGTAGAGTTTTGAGACATGGACTTGAAATCTTTATTTTGTTGAGTTGACAACAGGTGGAAAGAAAAAGTACCTCAAGCAGGGTTAGCTTTGAAAGAAGAGAGTGTAGCTCTCTGTCTGTTATTGTAAATGATGTCTTCAAAAACAAAGATTTCAAATGATCACAACCATCAATGTTGATGATCTCTGACCAACGGTGTCTTGATGACGAAAGATTAATGGTAAAACTTTGGATACTTGGAGAAGTGACCACTAACTGGGAAAAAGAAAAGCCAAAATCAACATCAATAGTGTGGAGTCTACGAAGATTAGAAATCTGGACGGATGTCAAATTGGGACATCGACAGAGAACAAGACGTTCAAGGAAAGGGAAGTCATCATCCTTCCAAACTATTGGATCTTTTATAAAGCAATAGTTAAAAGACAACTCCCTAAAGCAATTGAATATAGATAAGGGCTGGTCCAAAGAACAGCTAGTTAACTTTAGAACAGTTAACGTATTAGAAGAAAATAGTGGCTGGGGTAAAGTAAATAACTGTTTTGGGAGAATATCAAACTTGCACTCACGACAGAGATCTAACCTTTTCACCCCATTCTCTAAAGCCAATCCTATCCAACTATCGAGGTCAGAGTAAAGTGAATCCGAGAAGAACTCTATACAAAATGCCACCAACCTCAACTTATTCTGGCTAAAGTGACGCAGAGAATCATAAACAACTTGTCTAAACTTGTTCCTGTCACCAAATGGTCCCTTAAGTTCCAAGACAGGATATGATGCCTTAAAATGGTACCATTTTTTGGATAAAACACTGGTTCGAGCTACCTCTTTTGCAGGAAGGAAAGACATAATCTGATGTATGATGGATTCTGGCAAGTCGGAGATCCGATCCACACCACCAACATTCTTCCTCCTACTCCGCTTCATGTCGCCAAATCTGTTTTTCATTTGGATATGAATAGGTTAAACTCAAGAACATAAATAAATAAAAACTTATATAGACTGGAAAATTGCTCGAAAATATCCAATTGACAACGAAATTTGGCAGCTTCTTCATGAAACCTAAGAATATAACTTCTTTTTTCTTTTTCCCCTAAAAGAAGCTCCCTTTCCAGAGTAGATTGATTGAAGAAACTATGGAGAAAGTGATGAACTTTACAGATCAGAAATTCAAAAAAATAATAATTCAAAATTGAGCCCTAAATACAAAGACTGGAACTAAAAGAACCTAAAACATAATGAATTAGAGAAAAAAGAAAACTCGGAAGCAAATTAATCTGAGAACTGGGGATGGGATGGGTACTCACCGAAAATGACGGCGATCTGGAACCTGCTCTGAAAACCGCTTTCAGTTTGAAGATAGAGGAGGGCTCTGAGCAATAGAAGATTGAACGGTTGGGATTTCTACTTGTATTGTATTTGGGGAGGGTTGGCCTGGCCGAAATATAGGTATGAAAATGGCGCTCTCCTGTCGGCGGCAGTAGGAAACGAGTGAGCGATAGAGATGGCGGGGCTTAAAATGCCCAACTCATTTTGAGAAGGCTAAAATGCCTAATTTTGTTAAGGGCAAATAAGCCACTGTACGCTTTCTTCCTACTAACCAATTCTGAAATCATCCTCACAAGATCCCCCCGCACAGTACAGCAGAGACAGCCATTGTTGAGCATAACTATGCCCTCAGCCCCAGTAGTTTTAGCAGCAACTAAAGAGCCATCAATATCTATTTCCCCAAACTGCAAGTTTCAGAGTTTCATATTAAGATTTTGCATGAAATAGTTAAAATGTTTTGGATTGGATTACCCACAAAAAGGTGGGTAGTTTTCCTAATTATCTATTTCAATCTGAATATAAACA